ACATCAGTTATGTATTCGGGGTGATTATGAGCAGATTAGCCTCTGACTCACATGAGTCTCAAAAAAACTGGCTCGTGACTGATGTGTATGGCTGAATTAAGCATTTTGAAGTAATTTAAGTATTTTAAAGAGATTTGAAAGAAAAAAGAAACAGTAATTTGCCAGGAGAAAAAAAAAAAAAATCAAATTGAAGATTGTTTTAGGTATCAAGGTGAAGAAATTCCAAAATCAAAACCTCATCTCTTTTTTAAACCAGTGTTGCTTTTATAATATCACAGTGACACAGAGATTGTGAAGGGCTTCACAGGTGCGACTCCCAGAGGATGGTCAAAGAGAAATACTGCTTTCAAACATCTAGTCAGGTGGACCCTGATCCCCAGCTGAGGCTTACTGATAATGGCTGGTGGTGCAATATTGACAGTAACTTGTCCTGATCTGTCCTTAGTAAATCACATCTAATAGTATGAAATTAAATTAGCTTTATGCTGAGGTGATGGTCCTTTTTCCTTTTTTTTTCCTTTTTCTTTTTTTTCCTTTTTCCTTTTTTTTCCTTTTTCCTTTTTTTTTCCTTTTTTTTTTTCCTTTTTTTTTCCTTTTTCTTTTTTTTCCTTTTTCCTTTTTTTCCTTTTTCCTTTTTTTCCTTTTTCCTTTTTTTCCTTTTTCCTTTTTTTTCCTTTTTCCTTTTTTTCCTTTTTCCTTTTTTTCCTTTTTCCTTTTTTTCCTTTTTCCTTTTTTTTTCCTTTTTCTTTTTTTTCCTTTTTCCTTTTTTTTTCCTTTTTTTTTTCCTTTTTTTTTCCTTTTTCTTTTTTTTCCTTTTTCCTTTTTTTTCCTTTTTCCTTTTTTTCCTTTTTCCTTTTTTTCCTTTTTCCTTTTTTTTTCCTTTTTCTTTTTTTTCCTTTTTCCTTTTTTTTTCCTTTTTCTTTTTTTTCCTTTTTCCTTTTTTTTCCTTTTTCCTTTTTTTTCCTTTTTCCTTTTTTTTTCCTTTTTCTTTTTTTTCCTTTTTCCTTTTTTTCCTTTTTCCTTTTTTTCCTTTTTCCTTTTTTTCCTTTTTCCTTTTTTTCCTTTTTCCTTTTTTTTTCCTTTTTCTTTTTTTTCCTTTTTCCTTTTTTTCCTTTTTCCTTTTTTTTTCCTTAGCAAAGCCTATGCCAGATCGTTTCACTATTGCCAAGCAACACTGTTACAGCACAAAACACAGTGCAAGTCTAATAGAGGAGTAAAATGCATTAGCGGGGAGTTCACGAGGGATTTCCCTTGGTAATGCTAGGGAGGCTCACGAGTCTAATACGTTCGGGTCAGCTCTTCTGGCTTCTCCGGAAACTTACCCTGTGCTTGCTGCTGTGTTCATATGTAAAATACCCTTCCTGAATGATGGGGGAGGGGAAGCTGTGTTGTTCAAACGTTTGTCTAGAAGTACTGAAAGAGGTATACCTGTCAAAGTGGGGAGTTGGTCACCTAGGCACAATTTCTAAGTATCTGAAAGACTCTGAAAAGCCAACAGAGATAACGGTGTAGTAGAGGTTTGGGGTTTGTTTGTTTGTTTTTTGACAGATAACATTAGAAAGAGAACAAGTTGAATATGACTTCTTATCTGTCTTACCTGTCAAACTTCATTTGTTTTTACACAAATTGCTGTACAGATTTTCTTTTAAGTGCCTGTTACAATTTTAAGAAAGTCTAAGAATTTGTAAACCCTATGAATGCTGCAGTAAGAGTCAACCTTTACCGATTTTGTTAATTTGCTTTATGGCCAGCTACCATTGCAAGCTAGTTATTATGGTCTTTTCAATTAAAAACTGTTATGAATTTTTTGAATACTGGCAATACAGCTATAATGATCTTTCCACATTAGTGTTTGTTAGAACAGGCATCATGTCTAATTGAACTAGATATCTAACGGATGTAGAAATATTTGTGCTTATCTTTTAAAAAAGATGTATTATTAAAAAAGTGAAGATGTGAAAGAATTAATACTTAAAATTACAAAATACAAGTTCTACGCAGCTTGATACCAAACAGTTTAGGTCTTTATATTTTCTCATTGAACTTGTGTTGAATGCCTAATAAATACTGTGCAAGCAACATTGTTATTTAAGAAAACATTTTAAATCTATAAAAGGATGATAAAACTAAGAGAAGGAAAACTGTGTGTTTCCACTAAATGAGTTTTGCAAACAACAATGACTTGGGAAAGATTGTTTTTTTTATAGATTAAAAAAAACCTAGAAAGTCTCACATGAGATATCAGTATAGGCTCTTGCATGAAGCTGGCTGTGGGATTTCTCTAATTTTTTTGTTTCTCTTTACTCATATATACATCCAAGGATCACATTGGTCCTTTAAACAACATGTACATCTTCCACTTCCTTCTCTTTCCCACCGTGTAACAGTTTGTCATCATTATTATTTGTGGTGGTACTACTGTATCACACAGTGGTCCTTGATCCAGGTTTTTTTATTTTGTTTTTATTACAACCTGGTATTGAAACAAGAGGTAAAAGAGGTTCAGATAAGAAAAACAGTAAAACAGTACTGACCAGTTTCATAGAGAGCAGTCCTGGCAGAACTGCAGACTTATTACATTTTTGTAGGTATTATTTGGCAAAAGCATTAGCAGGAAAACAATTAAGCTGATTAGATAGCCTTAAGGTGTTCCTTTGAAGCATGAACAGGCAGGATGGAAGATTGCACACAGAAGCTCTTAGGGAAATGTAACAAACGAGGAATAAAGGTTGGTGCTAGTGATAGATGTCATTTGAGAGGGTGACAACTTGGTCAGAATATTATGGTTGGAAGTAAAGTGGCAGAGTTTAATTTTTTTAAAAAAGGAATCTCACATTTAAAGGTGATGATTGGCCAGTGTATTGAAGACAAGGGTGGACCAAAAATAGAATGGTTTTAATCTACCTGTCTTAGTAATTAGTATTATTTTAAGTTATTGTGGTAAATACTCAAGTTTAGTTCTACCTCAAGGTGAAAAATTATGTGCTATTCTGGAAACTTATTAAAAATGTTCTCTTTTCATCTTCAGAAGCCATTTCTCAAAGAAGAGTTCTGGCGTATTTGTTTGAAAATACTTTCAAGATTGTCTTTGTGTACTTTATGAACAACCTAGTGGGCTGTGCACTGGAAGAAGAGTGCTGACATTGGATTCTACCCTACTTAACGGAGAGAGGGGAAACCTAGCAAAAGACAGCAAATTTACCCTCATAGGTTGTCAGAGGGACCTGCCTTTCTCAGTGGACTGTACAGGGGATTTAGGCAATTATGTTAAACAGGTTTCCTCATCTTGCTCTGACTTTCCCTGTCTCCATGCTCACATTCTAGTGTATCACCTAAAATGAGATACCAGGGTACATAATAAGCAGTGGATTCGTTTCCAGCTGATATAACTGTATTGTAGAGGCACTGCTCTGCTTGCCTATCTCTTTTCTGAGGTTTTATTACTCTGTTACCACTTTCCTAAGCAACCTTGAAAGAACTGCTGATGTTTATAAAATCAATGAGTTTGCAATATTTAGAGGGCTTCAGAAAAATATCATGTGGAGAGGAAAAACGATGCCCTGTAGCATTTAATATGACTTGGTGAGCAGCCTGTCAGCTAAGACTTGAAAGGGGGGAGGGGGGGGGGGGGGGGACACTT